GGTGCGACCTGGACTCTCGCTACTTCCCCACCTTCCTCCTCCCCCTCCCCCACCTTCCCGACCGAGGTCCCCTCGTCCACCCTCCCTCCCCTCCCTCTCCCCCGCCCCCCCTCCACACCTTCCCTCCCCAACACACATCAGCTTCTTTTCTCGCTTCCTTCCTCTTCCTCTCCTATCCGTCGTGTTGGTTCACCTTTTCCTTCCCTGCTCTTGATCCTGCTCCTGCTCTTTTACCATCGCTGTTCTCTTGTGACCAGACTGTCCTGCAGAGAAGTAGAGTTGTCTTCGCCAACCTAACAAGAACTCGTCCACACGTTCTACTCTTAGATGGTACAGTACTCGTCCTCGTCCTCGTCCTCGTCCTCGTCCTCGTCCTCGTCCTCGTCCTCGTCATTCTCCTCCTTGTACAGCAACTCATGCCACAACAGAGCCAACCAACAACCTTGACATCATCACTATCGACGCGCTCGTCGACGCGCTCAACGACTTTCAGGTGGAAACGTTTCACCTCCTCCTCACCCCTCAGTCCTGTCGTAATCCTTCTCGTCCTCTCATCTTCCTCCTCCTCTTTGCCCTCCTTGCCCTCCCCTTCTCTTCGCTCACAGCATAACAGGGCGCGGTCGTCGTCGTCAGCCATGACCTCCGGCTGGTGTCCGCATGTTGCAACCACGTGCTGGCGTGTGAGGAAGGAAGAGTGACGGAGGTCAAGGGCGGCATCGAAGCATACCGACAGATGTTAGAGGAGAGGCAAAGAAATTCTTCTTAACATCTCAATTTATCACCAGCACCAGCACCAAGATGTTTGATCCATGAGAACAACAGGAACGATCTCGTTCGCATGAAACCCCGTTCTCACTTCAACTGGCGGCTAGCAGACCAAACGCAAACACCAACTCCTGCAAAATTCCAAAGCAATATGGTCAGAGGTACGACAACAAGGCTGAAACAACCATCACACGCATCAAGACCGGTAAAAGAACAAGATAGAAAAAAAACCAAGACAGAAATTTCAAAGCACCTGAGAACACGAGGGTAAGAAGACCTCCGCCAACGACAAGCTTGTTTCCAACAGGAAAGTACCCAGTGCCTGCGATCCAAATGAATCCGAAACTTCCTGGCTCCCCTTCCCTCCCTTCTCCTCGCCTCGCCTCGCCTCGCCTCTCACCCCAGTCGACTCCTCTGCGTCCGGGATGGCTTCCCTTGGTCAGGTGCTGCCGGCACAACATCAGACATGCAAGAAGCTTCAGGCCTTGGTCACCTCGCATTCGTACATGACATGGTGGCCGTGGTCGCCGCCTCCTCCTGGAGCTACGGATGAGAAGAGGGGAGAGGGAGAAGGAGCGGGAGAGCGAGAGCGAGAGCGAGAAAGAGGTAGGGGAGACTAAGAAGGAGGGAGGAGGGGAAAGGAATGGCTGGGGCGAGGAGAGAAGGGGAGGAGGGAGGAGGGAGGAGGGAGACAAGAGCTCTCTCGCCATGCACTTCACCTCTGAGGGGCTTGACGTTCTTTGCCTGCACCAACACGCGACGAGAAAAGGTTGACAAAGCCTGTTGCAGTAATAATCAATGCCAAGTCAGTGAAATCTTTCTCAACACCGCATCCATCTAACACAATGCTGAAACTTCCACATCCTCATCTCTTCAATGAACGTAGGATTTTCGCCATGATCTTTTACGAACACTTGCAACTCTCATGTGACATCCTTCATCTAAGCTCCGTTGTCCCAATAAAACTTCAACACAACATTTCGCTGCTCCTGCCTTCTGACACCTCAGCTCTCATATATCTTTTTATAACCTTGTCTTTCCCCCCCTTCCAGTCCCACTCCCCACACGCCCTTCCACCCTTTTCTCTCTCTGTCTCCTTCTGTCTGTCTGTATCTCTCTATGTCTGTCTGTCTGTCTAACTGTCTCTGTTTCTCTCTGTCTCTGCCTCCTCACCAGCCCCAGGCCCCCCCCCCTCCCCCTTCCTCCCTTCCCCGCCATTCCTCTCCAATTCCTTTTCCTTGTTCTCTCTTTCTCCTCGTGATGCTTCTGCTCCTGCTCCTTCTTGTCCTCCTCCTCCTGCTCCTCCTCCTTCTCTCTCATTGTTCCACAACCCCCCCTTCTTCATTCGCTCACCCGCACCTTGTTCATTGCGCTCCTCGGCTGCTGCGACCTTTTTCTAATTAAAATTGTGTAAAATAGTTTTATTCAACGTAAATATTTTTAGATACTTTTAGATATTTTGATTTATTTTTTTCAGGTTTGTGATCGATTTTTCTGATAAACATTGGAAACTATATATGAAAATATGAAATAAAAGAAAACTTTCAAAAGCATGTCTACAACTGTTTTATGACGGTTGTGTTTTAAAGCGTACTGTCATCAAGTGCCAGCAATTCCAATAACTATTTTAATACCAATTTTCCCAACTTTTTTTAGAAGTAGACTCAGAAATTAGCAGTCTTAAACTCATATTCGACTGAAATTGAGTACCAAGATAAAACTTTTAAAATACAAAATACTAATGAATAAACTAATGGTACTATTTGGTACTATAGCGTATTCTTTCGGTACAGTTGTATAACTACAGCATTCTGATTTTTAAGTTTTAAAACTCTGACTCATACAGCACTTCCCGATAAATTACATGGCTTCGTTGTCGGGAGGCCGAAACTGAGCAGCAGCAGTACCAGGAGCAGGAGCAGCAGGAGCACGAGCAGAACCAGGAGCAGAACCAGGAGCAACAGCAGAACCAGGGGCAGCAGCAGGAGTAGGAGCAGAACCAGGACAGGAGCAGGAGTAGCAAGAGCAGGGGCAGGGGCAGTGACAGCAGCAGCAGCTGCTGCTGCTGCAGTATCAGGAGCAGGAGAAGAACTAGGTGCAGGGGCAGGAGCAGCAGCAGCAGCAGCAGCAGCAGCAGCAGCAGCAGCAGCAGCAGCAGCAGCAGCAGCAGCAGCAGCAGCAGCAGCAGCAGGGGCAGGGGCAGGGGCAGGGGCAGGGGCAGGGGCAGGGGCAGGGGCAGCAGCAGCCGAACCAGCAGCCCAAAACCAGCAGCAGTGGCGGGTGTAGGATGAGAGTTTTCCAGTGGGGAGATTCCTCAGGATAGGACCAATAGTAGATGCCCCTCCTTGAAGAGAATGATCTCAAAGATTGAAAAGGAGGGCGAGATTCACAGATGTTTGCCTTCAATGCTGATGAATTATTTCCAGCTAGCCTCTTGTAACGCCACGGGAGAGTATGAGGCATGTATGATCCAGAAGCATGAACGCTTGTTGGTACATCATCAAACTCCTCCTCCTCTCTGCCCTGCAGGCTTCTGCCTTCCTAGCCTCTTGCCCTTCGACGGGGCCGGCAGTTGGCAGTCTGAAATGTAAAACCACCTTCTCCAAGTATGCTGCTGCGACTCGACGGTCATTTCAACATCGGACAGTGTACTTAATGTCATCGCAAGCACCAGCCGCTGCTGAGGGGAGTCTGCTGGACACGTTCTGTGGGAGGTTTCCTGAGCTCTTCACAATGGACTTTGAAAGTCTTACAACCTTGCCTTTTATCAAGCCTGTCGGGAGAGAAGCGAGAGTGCTCGATGGCAACGTGATGTCCAAGTATGGGAGCGATGAGGAGTTGAAGGAGAAACTTCCTCCTTCATGGAGGGAGGCGATAGACTCGTCTGCTGCTGCCATCGAGCGGGTTATCGTAGGGAGTGGCCTGGCAGTTCACTCGATCTACGTGGTAGGAGCAGCGGGACGAGGCAGCGCGATCGAAGGTGTGTCGAAGATGAAGATCCTCGCCCTGTTGGTAGATGCTAGCAAGGATGTAAGCGGGGAGAGCGAAGCTACATCGCCATCGCCATCATCACCATCATCATCATCATCATCATCATCATCATCATCATCATCATCATCATCGCTCATAAGGTTGCAAGCTGGTCTTGATGAGGAGGCCATGAAGCTGCATGAAAGCTTTCAAGGTTACATGAGCGCTGTTGATATCCGTGGACATCTGCTGGGGGAGGAGGCGGAGCCCGACTTGCTCCGAGATCTTCAAATCTCTTCCTTGATAGTCAAGGGGGAGGACGTTAGAGGCAGTCTGCCGCAGGCGGTGCTGACGTGTAAAGAGGCATCAAAGGCGACGAGTCTCCAGATCATGCTCAGGTCTTGCTACCCTCACGTTGGCTCACATGACAAGGCCCTCGAGAAAGTTTACAAGCAGATGCAGGAAGTGCTCTCCAGCGCTCTCAAGGCGAGCATGGAGATCGTGCTGATCAGGAAGGGCCGCGGTGACAAGCTCGCTGTAAGTGGAGGATGGGAGGGAGGGTACAGTCAAGACCTGATCCCCTGCTATCACGCGGCATGCTGTCTTTCCCCTGCGTTCAAGGACGAATGGCTTCTGTCCCTCCAGCTTGCTTGTCTGCCGTGGGAGCAACTTGCTGGGCTGCCTCTCAAGGACTTGAAGGCTGTAGTGGACAGGATGGTGAACTTGGCCGACCGACTGGTCGGAGTCATAGAGGATGACTTCGTCTCCGTCGCGTTCGACCCCCTCGACGATCTCTCCGAGGCATTTCGGGCCCGCGCCGTCCGCGTACGACGGAAGGACACAGATCCTGGAGCAGGAGCAGGAGCAGGAGCAGGAGCAGGAGCAGGAGCAGGAGCAGGAGCAGGAGCAGGAGCAGGAGCAGGAGCAAGAAGCTTCCCGTCTCTTTCCTCACCCCTGGGCTCCTTGCGGAAGGGGATTTCAAGTTTCCTCTCCTCGCGAATCTCGAAGGATGAGGAGGTGAAGCTTGTCGAGGACGAGCTGCCAGACACCATCATCGGACATGCTTCCCCTGTCGACTCGTTCGATATGCGCGACCCGCAGCAGGCGGAGGAGGCGAAGCGACTGCTGCGCTCGTGCTCGCAGCCGGTCCTCCTAAAGCATGCTTGCCAGCACTGGCGCGCACTGAAGACTTGGAGCAGGAGGAGGGTTGAGGAAGAGATCACTTCAGGAATCGTCCGTGTCGCTCCCTCCTCCAACATCCTCCAATGCAACAGCAACAGCCGACTGATCAAGGAGGGGACCTTCCTCCCTCCTAGCCGGATGGCCTTCATGAGCGGCCAGGAGTTCTGCAGGAGGATCCAGGAGGACAGAGGAGGACTACCTCCTCTCTTCTACGATGAGCAGGAGAGGGTCTACCTGCAGACCGAGGCGCCTGAGAGTATGCTGTCCGAAGCTCCGATTCCTGCCTACTGGGAGGAGCTCGGGGTAGAGGCGGGGGGATGCACAAACTTCTGGGTCAGCACCAAGGGGCTTGTCTCCCCCCTCCACTATGACGCCACGCACTCCTTCCTAGCACAGGTGGGAGATACGAGCTTGAAGCCGCTGCTTCCGTCCCTCCTCCCTGACCCTGATCCTCCTCCCTCCTCCTGATCCTCCTCTTCTTCCCTCTCCACCTGATTCTCCTCCACCTGATCGTCCTCTTCTTCTCCCTCCTCGTCCTCCTCCTCCTCATCCTCCTCGTCCTCCTCCTCCTGACTCTCCCGCAGGTCAAGGGCAGCAAGCGGATGCTCTTATGGGATGCCAAGAAGCTGCAGGACTTCTACGTGTACCCTCGGGACCATCCCATGTACCGCAGGAGCCGTGTCAACCCCCAGCTCCCTCCCAGCATGGACGAAGAGAGTCGAGCTCAGCTAGTCGGCAACATGTAAGACGAGGACAAGGACGAGGCCGCTGCTCCTGACGGTCTGCTTGGCAGGAAGGAAAGGTTCCCTCAGTTCTTCTCCTCTGTAGCGGAGGAGGCGTTCGAGGTTTTCATCGAGCCCGGGGATGCGGTCTTCTTTCCTGCCTACTGGTTTCATTATACAGGTGCGGATGGAACCAGAGGGGAGGGAGGGGAGAGGGGAGGGGAGGAAGGGAGAGGAGGGGTGAGGGAGGGAAGGGGAGAGGAGGAGCAGAGACGAACGAAGTTGGAGCCCAGGGCCGAGGAGAGGCAGAGAAGGAGGAAGGGGCTGGGATAGAGATTGAAGAGGAGGGGAAGGGGGAATGCTTTTAGTTTGCTTACCTTGGAGAGCAGAGAGCAGGGATTTCTCAATCTCTCTTGGGTATCGCTACCTGGACGTGGAATGAGGGAAGGGAAGGGAAGAGGAAGCAGATGAGATCATGTTGTAAGGTGAATAAAACAAAAACTTACAATGATGAAAGCGCAACAGCACTGACGTTGGGAGTCTAACAAGCTACAAGTCATCAAACTCTTTTCTCATTCACATCTCCATCTCTCCCTCCCCTCCTTCTCCCCCTCCATCCCTCTCGCTCTCTCTCTCTCGCTCAAGTTGTCAACGACTTTAATAAGATCACTCTGCCTGCAGCAAGGATGGTAGACATCACAAGATCGTTTATCTTCCAAGGGTGGTGACAGCAAACACGCGGATGTTTCCGTCGGTGTAGCCGGCGAACAAGGAGTTGCCGTCGGCGCTCCAGCACATGGAGACGCAGGAGACCTTGACGGACTTGGGGCCGGTGGGAGGAACATCCTAATGTAACGAGTTAGAAGGAGGGGAGGAGGAAGGGAACGAGCAGAAGAGGAGCATGAAAACCAAAGATAGCAGAGTTGAAACAGGAATGACTAAGGAGGAAAGGAGGGAGTGGCAAGAGGAAAAGGGAGAGGAAGGAGGAGGTAGAGGAAGGAGCAGGTAGACGAAGGTTGAGAATAGCAGGGAGATGAAGAGCTAACCTCGGGGACAAGGTCCGCAACGATGTTCTTGCTCTCGAGATCCCAGATCTTGATAGAAGAGTTGGTAGCAGCTCCGAGCCAGTACCTGTTCGGGCTGAAGAGGAGAGCGTTGATGGTGTCTCCGGCCTCCAAGGAGTAGAGGTGCTTGCCCTCCTGGAGGTCCCACAACTTGGCAGTGCCGTCCTTTCCTCCGGAGGCGCACAGGGAGCCGTCAGGAGAGACAGTGACGCAGTTGAGGTAGCCGGTGTGGCCGACAAGGTTGGTGCGGAGCTTGCAGTTGGTCAAGTTCCAGACCTTGACGAGCTTGTCCCACCCGCAGGAGACGAGGAGGGGGGGGGAGGGGGCAGGGGAGAAGCGAACGCAGCTGACCCACTCGGAGTGACCCTCGTCGTTGATGGAGGAGGAGCCGATGGTGTACTTGCAGTCACCGAGGGTGTTCCAAAGCTTGATGGTCTTGTCTCTGGAACCGGAGAGGATCTGCCTGTTGTCAATCGAGAAGGCGACTGACAGAACGTCCTTGGAGTGGCCCACGAACCTCCTGGTGGTTGCTCCGGTGTTGAGGTCCCAGAGGCGGAGAGTGCCGTCCCAGGATCCTGAGAGGGCGAACTGACCGTCGCTGGAAACAACAACGTCCTGCACGAAGTGGGAGTGACCGTGAAGGGACTTCTTGGGAACTCCGTAGTTGCCCTCCTCCCTCAAGAGAGTCCAGACGATGATGGACTTGTCTCTGGAGGCAGACACGAGCATGTTCTCAGTGTCTGGGGTAGGAGTGGCAGTGGTAGCGATGGCAGTCACCCAGTTTCTGTGACCCTTGAGGGTTCCGCGGAAGGAAAGCGTCTCCGACATGGCAGGAGGAGGAGGAGGGATGCGGTACCCCCAGTGGATTAAGAAGCGGAATCCGGGTTATTCGTGGGGTGGGGTACTCTTTCATAGGGGTACTGAGGTAACTACAGTGGGTACTTTGTCAAAGGATTGGTGTTTTCATAAACCTTTGGGTTAGAGTGTATTTTTAGGTGGTAGGGTGGTTATCTTATCCGGTATATTAGACTCAATAATACTCTTGTAAATGGGGTGGGGTTAGCAAAAGTGGGAAGGTTTGATTCTTGCAAGAGGAAAACTACGGGTGCTCAATATTTTGTGGGGGTGTTAGCAGAAGAAGAGGGGGTGGGGTCCCTGTTTCTATCGCGATAGCTGCACGAGAGATTCTTTTTTTCTTGACCTCATCCCCACATTCACCCAAAACCACCGAGGCGGACCCAGAGGCGGACCCAGGGCGGACCAGGTGACTCGCCGGACCGTCCGACTGCGGCGGGCCGGGACTCCGGGACGACTCTCAGCACTGTTGTCCGGCCCGTCCGATCAGTGTCGGGCTGATGACGGCAGTGACTCGGCGACCGTTGCCAGTGGAAGCGTTACGCCGCGGGCTGGGGCCTGGGAGTCACTGGCAGCGGGCCGGAGTCACCTCCCGGACTCGCCCCCCGGGCCCTGCCCGACCCGGGTCGGAGTTCTCACTCCGACAGCCGGGGGCCGGGGCCCGGGCTGGCCACTCAAGTTTGAAACTTTTGACGTGGCCCATCGCCAGAGCTTGTAAGTTGTTTCCATTGGTGCCACGGTCTCCTTTGCACCACCCCACCCCTTCACCTTATTATCCCTTGTACCCATTGGTATGATTACGAAATATAGAGAGAGGTAGGGGTTGTTGACTACCCCTACCTCCTATTTTTTCACACGTTTCCTACCCGACACTGATATGCATCCTGAGGAATGTACAAGCGGCGACGAGATGGATGATGCTAGATGTAGCGAGAGGAGAGGAAGAGAGCAGAGAGCAGAGAGCAGAGAGCAGAGAGCAGAGAGAAGAGACCAAAGAGGAGCGAGGAGAGAGGCGAGAGGCGAGAGATCAAAAACCTGATCATCACGAGTTGACAGGAAGAAGGCGATGAAGATGAAAGAGAAGAGGAGAGCAGATTTTTTGAGGGACTCGTTAGCAATCCTGTCATAGCAGATCCAATACTTGCAGGCAAGGACAAAGAAATGGCAGCGTTTCTGGTTAAGGAAAGAAGGAATCAAATTCGTTGTCACAACTTTGACTTTTTCACTCATTCACATGTTTCACATTTTGCAGGAATGGAAGTTGACGATCGATGAGGTCCAAGAGAACACGACCCCCTCTTACATCCCTTGTGAAGTACTTCTTGCTTGTATGTACGTGCGCCACCCTCTCGATCCAGTTCTCCTTCTTCCAACGACAGCAGGATACAGTCCATCGTCAGGGTTCGGCCCAGCGTCACTTTCCCTTGTCTCGCCATGGGCTCCAGCGATCGAACAGCTCGCATGGCTCGAACCACACAAGCTTCTTGTCCAAGGTGATGAACAAGATGTCGATGCCGTCCGTGAGCGAGCAAGGAGTGTGGGAGTCCTTCAAGAACTACTCGTCTTCCAAGGCGCATGCCCTGCGTGACTTCTTCTTCAACGCTTCCTCGCTGCGTGGGAACCGATCGCAAGAGGTCGAGGGAAGGACGCACTTCAGCTTCGATCGCTACAGCTGGATACTCGCTAGTGCTAGGGGGAGGGTATGGCAGGGCCCGTTCAACGACAGCTACATCCCAGGACAAGTCTCGAACCGGCTCTACTCGAGCTTGGAGGAAGCCAAGGAGAAGTGCAAGTCTGAGTTGCATCTCAGGTGCAGCGGCATCACGCAGCATCCTACCGACGGCAGGTGGATGCTGCGTGGGCCCTCAGGTCAGCTCCAGCAGTCCCCCGAGCACGAGGTCTCGTGGTTGGCGCCGAGGGCAGAGAACGCAGGGAAGGTGTGCGTGCCGTATGGTGATATCACGTCTCCTCCTGCTTCGGAATCAGCATGGGTAGGGCAGGTAGCATGGAAGCATGGAAGCTGTTTGAACCTCAAGCACGGAGCGATTTGGTTATTCCATGCGCGAAAGGCTGCTGGAACGACCTTGAGGAAATTCTTCGAGGGGATCGCGTCTGATCACAAAGTTCCGTTTTGGGAGACAGAAGTGAGAGGAGGACCGGGGGGGGGGGCAGGAGCAGGAGCAGGAGGAGGAGGAGGAGGAGTTTGACTGTCGAGTGCTGCAGGGGAAAACGATAGAGGATCAGTTTTTAATGCTACCTGGGGTTTTCACCGTCACCTCAATTCGTCATCCTGTACAGAGGATCTTCAGGTTGCGATGGATGAGGAGGAGGAGGAGGAGGAGGTGGTGGAGTTGGTGGTGGTGGTGGGAGTGACATATTCGATGCAGTTTGTATTGGTACGAACATGTAGGGTGGTGGGATGGGATCGCCAAGGACCACTCCAAGGTGGCTGTTAAGCCTGCGACAAACATGGCTGATCACATTAGAAGATGCGGACGATGAACAACTGGATTGATGAATGGCGAGATGGATCGGAATGGAAGAGAAAGTACATGTGAGAACTGCTCCCTCCTGCCTTCGCAGCAACAGTGAAGGACAACGACTTCAGGACGAGATTCCCGGGCAACGTGTATGTGGAGATTGAGAACTATTTCGTCAAGCTGTTCTGCGGCTGGAAGGGGCCTGCTCCAGTAACTTACTCCTTGTTGGTGCTGCCTGCTTGCTGACTTCATGTCCAGGTGACAGAAAAAGATCTTGAAAGAGCAAAAGTTGTCTTGTCGAACTTTGACCTTGTGGTATGAAACAGAGACTTGTTTACTGGGTTGAAGGTTCCTGACTCGTACTGCAAGTTTCCCATGGATGAGATAGAGAAACCTGAGGCATTTGTATGACAATCCGCACGACTGTGCTGCCGTGTTAGCTGACTATGAGCTCAGAGGATGGTGACGACGATCTTCGACGTGCGGAATGAAACTTTCAAGAAAGAAAACAAGGTCGAGCCCAAGATCGAAGCTGCAAAGCAGAAGCTGAAGCATCTCGGTACCTTGTGATGTAAACATGTTTCGAATTGTACTGATATGTTGTCAGTGGCAGACAAGGACGCCATCACGTCGAGGCTTCTAGAGATGAATGCGCTGGACATGAAACTCTTTGAGTTTGCTCAAAACTTGTACAAGACACGGCTCTCTACCATCTTGAGGTAGGTGTCATCATGTCAGGATGATACGTTATCAACTCGATTCTCCTCCCTCGTTCCAAACATTCTCCTCTTCAACGTTTACCCGTTTACCCTCAAACCATCTGAGTTCTTCTTTTCCTTCACTCTCCCCCTCTCCCCCTCTCCCTTCCTCCTCCTCCTCCTCCTCCTCCTCTCCCTCCCCCTCCTCGCCATTGACTGTCTTAGCAGCACAGAAAGAAGTATCTTCCATACCGCGATGGATCAGCAGCCTGCCGAATGCTGTAAAAAGAGAGTTCCTCTCTGTCTTCACGTGACGGTCACATCAGGTCAAGCCTCCATGCCGGGAGGAAACTTGAAGCGAGAGCTCGGAATCCACCAAACCCCAACTCACAAACATTGACCCCTCCCTGCATATGATCGCTCTTCCTACATATGATCTCTCTTCCTACCTATGATCTCTCTTCCTACGTATGATCTCCCTTCCTACATATGTTTTCTCTCCAAGGCGTGATCTCCCTTCCTCTATGCGATCCCGGCCTTCGCATATGGTCTCTTTCTACATATTCTTTCCACCCCCGTCAAAGCTTGCCCTATCATCGAGGTTGTTTTCTCGCTGCCAGTTCTCCAAACATCTCTTGTTGTAATGAAATTTTCCCTCCTTCTCATGACAGGGAGGAGTTGCAGCGATAACGCAGAGCGAAGAGGAAGGGAAGGAGAGGGAGGGAAAGGAAAGAGCAAGGGAAGGGGAGGGAGGGAGAGGGACAGGGAACAGGGAGGGTAGGGAGGGAGGGACAGGGAACAGGGAGGGTAAGGAGGGAGGAACAGGGAACAGGGAGGGTAAGGAGGGAGGGACAGGGAACAGGGAGGGTAAGGAGGGAGGGACAGGGAACAGGGAGGGTAAGGAGAGACCGGAGTTCTAAAAAGGTTTTATTAGAGTTGATTTTTGCGATATTGTAGGGGCGGGCCGGTAGCGACCAGAATGCTGGGGCGATGAACCTGTGACAGACCACGCGAGCGCAGGAGGAGGAGGACAGGTGGACAGGAGATGGATGGGTGGAGAGTAGGAGGAGGCGGAAGTGGTGGATAGGAGAGGAGCCGGAGGAGGAGGAGGAGACGGAGGAGGAGGAGGATCGACATCGGAAGTGTCGGGTGACTGGGGAAGGGGGAAGGGGGACACATGTCAGGTCAAGAGCCGCCGCAATGGGAGGAGGGAAGGGAAGCCGGGAAGAGCTTGGATGGGCAGAAGCAGCAAACGCGCATGTTCACCTTGCCGCTGCTCGACCTCGGTCTGAAGCCCAGGGGGAGCGATCCGAAGGAAGTGAGGAGAGGAGCGAGTGCTTGCTCAGACGTGTTGACGATGGTCGAAGCAGCCTAAAGGCCATGACGAGGAGCACATGATGAGTGAAGCTCTTCAGTTCCTCAAGGTGTCGATGGCTGCTGCTGCTGCTGTGCTGGGACTGACGGGGGAGCAGCAAAAGGAGTACGAGAGAGCGAGATCAGTCGCTGAGATGGTGCTGAGAGCGAACCCTGCCAATCAGACGGTAGAGGAGCATGGCAGGAGCATGGCAGGAGCAGAGGTTCACGCTGATGGCAGGCAGTGGCGGTAGGAGCGAAGGAGCGAGAGATCAACAGGGACTGGAAGGAAGCTGTAGAGCTGTGTTTATGTGAATGATTGAAACCTGATCCCTGCTAAGGCGAGCTGGTACCTGGAGGGGATGAGAAGAAATCCGGCTGATACGAGAGTCGACATCGGATATCAAACCAACCTGTCTCTTCTGCGATTGTATGAATGCCTACTACTGCTCTTACATACTTCACTCTCCCTGCATCTGACCCTCCTACTAACTGCACGATTCTTATATTCCTCGTTCAATATCTTTTAGTCCTCATACATCTTGCACTCCTTTCAAGTATTTGCTTGCATATACACATCCTCCCACATCTACATCTACATGCTGTACCCTTCAACATTTTCTTCTCCCTGCTGTGCTCTCTTGACTGTGTGGAAGTGAGAGGCAGCGCATGAAAGTTGAGCGAAGTCGACAAGAAGACAATCAGTTCTTCCACTTCAAGCCGATGGCAGAAGCCATTCACGACCAGTCTCTTCTCTCTCAGCTTCTGCTTTCATCATGATTGTGCCATGGCAGGTCATCAGAGGACGAGAGGCTGGGGAGGCGGTATGAAGAGATCTACTGCGATGAGGGGCACATACAAGACCTCATGGCAACTCAGGTGAAGGAGCCGAAGAACGAGCGACAGTGTAACGATTGCTGTGAAGGTGCAACAGGAGAACGAGAGAGCTGAGCTCCGGCGAACGTTGCTGTTTCATCGCACCATTCTTGACAGGATCTTTGCGTACGGATGTGATAGCTGACGAGCAGAGCAGAGTAACTGTGACGACAGATATTACAAACAAGGGAAGTTTGAACAAGAGTTTTCAGACAAAGATGAAATCGATGTGGTGAGATCAAGATTGTTGTGTTGCAGTGAGCTGATTGCCGCAGCTACATCACACGGGAGAGGAGGACTATAATGACATGATGCCGATCGTTCACTTGTGGAGGTAGTTGATGTCTTCACCACCTTCACTCTCAGCTAACATGGTTGATAGAATGCTCAAGAGTTGCAGATTGATCCACGGAGAGGTGCTACCATGTGTTGATGACGGAGCAGCAGCAGGAGCGGAGTAGGGGCGGGGATAGGGATAGGGATAGGGATAGGGATAGGGATAGGGATAGGGATAGGAGGAGCAGGAGGAGGAGCAGGGGGAGATATCTTGTCCTTCTGCTGCAAAGGAACTGATCGAAAGACAGGCGAAACCGAAACTATCAATAGCTGCATGTAATCGAATAATCTCTCCGTGTCGTCAGAGTGATGCCTTCGTCTTGCTTTATTCCTGTGCTTACAGCCTGATGTCTAGGGTCCCGAAAGGCAGAGCAGCAGGAGCTCGATGAAGATATCTCAGATGTACATGATTACCATGCAAACTTGAATTTCTATGAATGGATCGAAGCTCTGATAAGAATATCTTTCATCAAAGTCCATAAGGTTGCATGAGCAGCAGCATGACATGCCCTTGTGATCGTCATGAGCAGGGAAGTTTGTCGTCGAGGTTTGAGACCATGGTTGAAGAGAACATCGCGCGCTTCGCCATGAAGAGGTTGAAAGACAGCAGTTACCTTCAGTTTGCCGACGTTACAGTTCAGAATGTGAGCTGACAGATTCGGTTGTTGATATGCTAACATGCCTTGCAGACTCTGAATGAAACAAACATGGAGCTTGCACTCCGAAAGGTCAACTAAGCCATGCATGCTTCGACTACCTCACCTGGTACTGACGCAGATTTTCGATTATTTCATTGCAATCAGCAAGTCAACTAACGCGAAGAAGCCACAAGATAATAAGGACGTCACAATGAACGTGAACCACTTGATAGGTGACAGAATTACATGAAAACGAATGTTCTTGTCAGTACATGTTCTTGTCAGTACATGTTCGTGTCAGTACTTGTTCTTGTCAGTACTTGTTCTTGTCAGTACTTGTTCTTGTCAGTACTTGTTCTCATCAAGACATGTTTTCAATTCAGCGATGTCGTCGAAGATGGAGCTGTACGATCCTCGTTACACGATCAAGAAACTAGTCGAGCTCTTCTCTCTTGTCACTCTTGACGTGGACGCTCTCCCTCAGGTTCCTCTCTCGTGTCTCTGCCGCCCATGACGATGACGGCAGGAGCATCCAAACAATCAGACGACTGAGATGATATTCTTCGAGTTCCTCGAGTTCCTCTTCCGAATCTCCAAGCTCAAGGGCGAGAGCTCGGAGGTGAGAGATGGGAGGGTAGAAGGAGGAGAGGGAATCGATCATGATGATGATGAGGATGATTGAGATGGTGGCGGTTATGATAGCAAGAAAATAATTGTGATGGTAGTGGTGGTGGTGGTGATGTTAATGTTCTTGTAGTTGTAGTTGTAGTTGTAGTTGTTGTTGTTGTTGTTGTTGTTGTTGGATGATGAGGAGGAGGAGGAGGAGGAAGAGGAGGAGGAGGAGGTGGTGGTGTAATGAGCTGCGATTGCAGGCAGGACCTCCTGGTATGAGACACTTCTAGCCCAAGGGAAATCATCCCAATGGCTTCACAGATCATTCCAGGCAACAACAAGATGTTCACAGATGTACTGTGAGACTTCCTGCTCCGTGGGACGACATCAGCGAGGATGAGTTCTGCCTGGAGTAGGGAATGCGATGGTCCAGGAGCTCTACTAGTTCCCACGCCTACTGCGGGCCCAGTGCAGCGCGTACATCTCGTCGGAGACACTGGGAACGGCCCTGGAGCTCATTTGCCATTCCTTC